AGCCTCAAGCAGGAGCTGCAGCGGCAGCCCCTGACTCCCTGCGGCATTGGCAAGAGCAGCCCCCTGGACTGCCTCGCCCTGCAGTCAGGAGGCAGACCGAGTAGTACATAGGAAGCTCCCATGCACTACACGGTAGGTAGTTGGATAGTAGGCACGAGTAGTCATCAGGATTCAGCGCTGCACTCAGGAGGAGCGCTGCAGGGAGTAGCTTAGCGCTAGCAGTAGTCTTCAACACTGGGCGCTAGTAGCCATAGCAATAGTCTTCAGCGCTGGGCGCTAGTAGGTGGTAGATAGCAGAGTTGGGAGAGATGGCTGGCGGAGGCCAGCGAGACTTACTTGTGGCGCCATAGCTCCAACTCCATCTTCGAGGTACCTGCATCAAGGCACCAACTTCACAGGTTAGTACTGGACTGAGAGAGAGAGAGAAAGAGAGAGTTTTTCTTCCTCTTCTTCTAAGTCCACCATCTCTTCTTCCCCTCTCACCACCTGACTTCTCAGTATTAGCGGACTACAGAGAGAGAGTTGTGACCTGGGACTTGACGACATTGGATCCAGACTTGACATTTGGGATTCAGACATTTCGACAAGGGACTATTTGGGCCCGTGCCGAAGACTTGGTATTGACGACATTCCCATCTTCCCCCTCCTCTTCGTTAAACCCCCTTCTTCTTTGTTTGTGTATGGTAGGGGCTGGCGCAGTCTTCCTGTGTGAAGCGCCAGACCCGACATTCCCATCTTCCCCCTCCTCTTCGTCTAACCCCCTTCTTCTTCGTTTGTGTATGGTAGGGGCTGGCGCAGTCTTCCTGTGTGAAGCGCCAGACCCCATTCACACCATGTAACGATGATGATGATGTATGTTCAAGGCTGTATTGCAATATTGATTGTTCGGATCATTGGTATCTAAGTCTTCCGTACGTTATCTTGTACTTTGTATTGAGAGGTCGGTTCTTGTTCTGGTCTCCACCGTTACAGTATGTAACATCGTTTTCCGAGTAAGGCGCATCGTTTTCCGAGTAAGGCGCACATCAATCACGCCTCAGAGAGGTTTCCAAGCCAATCAGGAGACTATTACATGATGTGACAATGTGGCTTGGAATGGAACGGAGTGGAGGTAGTCAGACCCTTGGCCTCAAGTGTTGGTCGGGATCTGCCCCATGGCAGGAGGCACAAGGGAGCAGAGGGTGATGAGGGTACAGGAATGCAGGACGGAGACAGCAAGAACTGGAGCATTTACAGCAAAGGAGACTGGAGGGTGAAGCATTACTCGGAGAGGTACAGGAGGAGGCAGGTTCCTGTGAAAATAAGCAATAAGAACAACAATCAACCTGATTCCGACATCTCACAGAAGACCAGACATACTTGAGCCGAAATAAACGCAGAAATCGAAGTGAAATGCACAACAAATAGGAGCGAGCAATACACCGAACTCTATCGATAAAGAGAGCCTTTCCACCGCCTAGACTCATCTATACAATAACAATGCAGTCTTCCTTATGGCATCTTGAACACCCATGCTTCTTCCTAGCTCCTGTACATCTAGCCTATCGACATGCCAACAATCTTCCACATGTCTGCCGACTCTGCAATAAATCGCAGTTTCCCAGTCGGGCTGTACACTAGTGTTCAGCTTTGTAGTTTGTTTTCTTGTTTTGAGCCCTGCGGGACTTGATCCCGTGACCTGTAACTTGGATGTTTTGTTTGTTAGTTTTGAGACCTATTGGGCTTGAGCCCTAGAACAATTCGCAGTTTCCCAGTCCGGCTGCACACCAAGTGTCCGGCTTTGT